TAAATCCGCCAACGCTGTCGAGCGTTAAAGAAGTACAGTAGACGATGACAGGTGAGCATCAACAAATCCGCCAACGCTGTCAAGCGTTAAAGAAGTACAGTAGACGATGACTGGCGAGCATCAACAAATCCGCCAACGCTGTCGAGCGTTAAAGAAGTACAGTAGACGATGACTGGCGAGCATCAGCAAATCCGCCAACGCTGTCGAGCGTTAACGAAGTACAGTAGATGATGAATGGCGAGCATCAACAAATCCGCCAACGCTGTCGAGCGTTAAAGAAGTACAGTAGAAGATTACTGAAGAGAATCAACAATTCCCCCGACGCTGTCGCGCGTCAAAGAAATACAGTAGGAAAAGATTTGAGCATCAGGAAACGGGAGCTGAGGAGCGCCCCAACCATTCAATACCTCACAGGAGCTGGCGAGCCCCTCTACAAGTCAACAACGCACGGGAGATGAAGAGCGCCCCTACCATTCAATACCTCACAGGAGCTGGCGAGCCCCTCTACAAGTCAACAACGCACGGGAGCTGAAGAGCGCCCCTACCAATCAATACCTTACAGGAGCCGGCGAGCCCCTCTACCATTCAACAACGCACGGGAGCTGAGGAGCGCCCCAACCATTCAATACCTCACAGGAGCTGGCGAGCCCCTCTATCATTAAACAACACACGGGAGCTGAGGAGCGCCCCAACCATTCAAAACCTCACAGGAGCTGGCGAGCCCCTCTACAAGTCAACAACGCACGGGAGCTGAAGAGCGCCCCAACTATTCAATACCTCACAGGAGCTGGCGAGCCCCTCTACAAGTCAACAACGCACGGGAGCTGAAGAGCGCCCCTACCAATCAATACCTTACAGGAGCCGGCGAGCCCCTCTGCCATTCAACAACGCACGGGAGCTGAGGAGCGCCCCAACCATTCAATACCTCACAGGAGCTGGCGAGCCCCTCTATCATTCAACAACGCACGGGAGCTGAGGAGCGCCCCAACCATTCAAAACCTCACAGGAGCTGGCGAGCCCCTCTACAAGTCAACAACGCACGGTAGCTGAAGAGCGCCCCAACTATTCAATACCTCATAGGAGCTGGCGAGCCCCTCTACAAGTCAACAACGCACGGGAGCTGAAGAGCGCCCCTACTATTCAATACCTCACAGGAGCTGGCGAGCCCCTCTACAAGTCAACAACGCACGGGAGCTGAAGAGCGCCCCAACTATTCAATACCTCACAGGAGCTGGCGAGCCCCTCTACAAGTCAACAACGCACGGGAGCTGAAGAGCGCCCCTACTATTCAATACCTCACAGGAGCTCGCGAGCCCCTCTACAAGTCAACAACGCACGGGATCTGAAGAGCGCCCCTACTATTCAATACCTCACAGGAGCTGGCGAGCCCCTCTACAAGTCAACAACGCACGGGAGCTGAAGAGCGCCCCAACCATTCAATACCTCACAGGAGCTGGCGAGCCCCTCTACAAGTCAACAATGCACGGGAGCTGAAGAGCGCCCCAACCATTCAATACCACACAGGAGCTGGCGAGCCCCTCTACCATTCAACAATGCATGGGAGCTGGGGAGTACCCTTATCAATCAATACTGCGCGAGATGCTAGGCAAAGCTCACTAAAAATATTGCATATGCGTCTCATACTTTGAAGAGTTTGAAATTTCCCGCTTCAGTTAACACTATCGTCCACACACAAAATTACTTACCATTTTCACGTCACCCCAATAACCACTCTCGTTGGAGACCCTACACAATCCTCAAGATCCCTTACCCAAAATGTGGTGTCTTTTTAGAAACTTTGTATAACTCTTTATACAAAGAGATATACAAAGGGGGGCAACTGTAGACACCACATTTTGTCCGGGACAGACATTATACTTAAAACATAGAAGCTAAAAATTAAAGTGAATGTTCGGATAGAATTAGTTTAAAATTTAAGTGAATGTCCGGATAGAATTAGCTGAAATTAACAATGACGAGTCAATGAGTACCATTTTTTTCCCCCAAAATTCTCTTCTATTTTATTCTGATGTAGATTTGGTTGAGACTAGCAGTAGCAAGTCAATATGAACCAATAATTACCAATTGGATCGGTTTAGTTAAAATTATCAATGAAATCTTAAATAAAAACTCTCAATTGGATGAAGAAATGACCATAATGCAAAGTTTGTTGCTCTGAGTTTGGATTTAGGTACGATAGATGAAATGTGAGAAATTGAATGAGGCAAAACAAAGACTTTATTATCAAATTCAATACATTGTACATCACATGAGTAAACCTCTAAATAAAGGAAGGATTAAAACTAATTACAATAATAAAGTCTCCTACTTTTGAGCCCGAACAAATTGTGTACCTCCAAAAATAAAAGGAAAAGAAAATGGATTAGTTTAAGCCCAAATTCAAACTAACTAAACCCAGCTCAAACCGACCTCCAATTCCAGCCTGTCTCCTATTATTATCCAAGGCAACGAGGGTCAACCCCGTCAACAAGAGTCAACCCGGTTTTCCTAGTCCATATCCTATCCCGTCCCGCAGGTCAAGGAAAAAACCTCTGCTGCATCCTGCAAATAGGCGCCGACCACCTCTTCAAAGGACCAATCAAGACTCACCACACAACAACCTGCAACAAAAAGAAAGCAATTAAAATAAAACCAAATTCAGACACACAAATAATGGCTGCTGCCTCTTCAAAATAGGCAGGCGCCACCCCTCAAAGCAACCAACTAAACAACGCAAACACACCAAAATGAACAATAAAAACACTTCTATAAATGCACTTCCTTATGGTAAACGGAGAAGGAGGAGGCCATCTTGGGGGAGGGAAGAGTGATAAGGAGGTGTAGTGATCTGAAAGGGAGAGAGGAGTCTGGTTTTTCGGTTACCAAAGTTGAGGGAGAGATCTGCTTGGGGTGCCATTTTAGAGAAACTGAAAGGATTGGGAGTTCAACTACGGAGAAAGGAGGGCAGAAAATCCAATCAAAGAAATACAAAGCAGGCAACAGAAGTTAAAGAGAAAGCAGACAAGGAGCAAAAAGGGGCAGCAAGAGATCCATCACAATCAAGTGATCAATTACAAAGATACCACTTGCAACGGTCCAGGTTAGTATCTCTGAAATCCAAACATATCCCACGTTTCATACACATACGAATGATCACTGTATTCACTTAATAGATATAGTATAAAGTGGAAATGAATAGATCTGTAACTCATGGTAGATCAGTATGGATATGGCTTGATTAGAGATCTACTTTTGCTTCCACTTATTATTTGTATTTGCAAATCATGCTACAAGCTAACCTCTAAAAACAGAACTAGCATGAGTATAATGATTTGACTTGCATACAACATACAAAAGCAAGAAGTAGTTTGTATCCGTGTTCTTTTGCTAGATAATGTTCTTTTGCTAGATATGTTTTCGTGATTGCTAATGTTTTTTTTATCCATGTATCTAGACATCTAATTCGGATTACATTAGTTCGATCAACCCGCCTAAGTTTCAGGTCTCTGTCTAAGATCGATTTAATGAAAATCATAACTTGGTACTTATTTTAAATTTAATAAACCACAAAGATAACAATTTCCTAGTGTTTGTCATCATATATAGAATATAGTAGAAAAGCTTCAACCTCGCAATCGACCCACAAAACCATAGTATAAGGAACCAGTTAATTGCAAACAAATAAGAGCTCAAGTTTATGATTTAGTCACAAGCAGAGGCTGTGACTTTAAGTTTCTTCTAAGATTGTTAAAACTTTGCAAAAAACGGATTTTCATATAACCAATATTAGGCTGCACCTAAATTGGTGATCCAAGCCGTATACCCCAAATTCCAATCCTAAACAAGAACAAAAATTTTCTTTCTTCTGAAATCACAAGCAGGGGCTGTGATTTTCGGTTATCTTAAAATTATTTAGAATTTCAAACCTTAGTAGAAAAAATTATTTTCTTAGTCACGATACACACCAATTCAGCCGGCAGATTAAGAAATTACATCCTAGCCATTAAAAACCCTAGTCAAAATTAATTAAAACCATCTAACCTAGGAAGATCGAAACAAATAGAGGAAGAACTCACCCAATACAAAATCGGTGCCGGAGTCTTTGTCGCCTGCGGCAAGGCTCGCCGCCCCCTCTCCCCTTCGATCAAACACCAGAGAGAACCCAAAAACCAAAACGGAAGGTCAGAATCCTAGAATAGCTCTTAAACCGAGATCGATAAAAAGATAACATGCAAGGGTAGAAGTCGCTTACCGCCGACGTGAGGACCTTCCGGATCATCTTCGTTTTGTGGTCTACAAAGGGATTTCTGCTTGTCGAAAGAAAAGGCTAGGATTCTTCAATTTTTGACGGGTTTTCGTTTCTGGACGAGAGAGGAGAGAACCAGAGGTTGAGAGCGGCCGATTTAGGGTTAGGAGGCTGCAAAAAGGAATTTATACCTGTCGGGTCTAAATGACGTAATTGCCCCTAGGTTTTCGTTGCAAATACACACCCCTGCCACCACGTTTTTCAGTAATTACAAAACTACCCTCCCCCCTTCTCTTAAACAAAACGAGAAACCAAAATAAATGCTGCTGGAGGGGTTTCGAAAGGGCGAACACGCTCCGACTAGTGAGCCAGCCAGTTGGGCTACCGGCCCATTTTCTGTTACTTAAACCATCCCGCTTAGTTTTATTTTGTTTAAATTTCTTAATACCAAATGTTGAATGTGGATTAAATTTATCTTGCCTCTTTTCTAATACATCAAAATACTTCCCAATGACTAAAATCCTTGCAATAATCAATTTAAATTTTTATTAACAAAGTTATAATACTAGATTTACGTTCAGTGGGACGTGATAAAATTACACCCAAAACGATCAAAGTTAAGAACCACGATCGGTGGAACGTGGTTAAGATTACATTTTAAATCCCAAAAACAGCCGACGCGACGACATCGGACCCCCCGGAGGGACGGTTGCGACACGATCATTATCGAACAAGGAAATCATGTAAATCTCGTCTCATTCTAAGTTTCGTTCATATTCTTGTTACGTAACGAACAACACATCTAGTTGATTTCTAACCAAAGAAAGTTAGGGGACATAGAAAAAATGTCGTGCAAATTAATTGAAAATCATTGATCGTCACTGTAATCATGCACTTATTAATCAGTAGTAATAATAATAATATTATTATTATCAGTAATTAATCACACTAATTAATTCGGAAATGACTTGAGTGGATCCTTGGCATCGATGTGAGATATAAGCGGCTGATCCGAAGGCAGAGTTTGAAGGCTCACTCCTACCTCCTCAAGCTTCTTCACCACTTCCTCGAACACCACCTTGTTCCCTGCCACGCTCAGGTGCAGCCCATCACTACATCACCATTCACCACAAAACATTATGATTAATCATCTGAACCAATTGACAGTAAGTAAACCAAAAATTGAAATGGGCCATCTTTGAATTGGAGTGTGACCTGAGGCAAGTTGTGGGCCAGTTAGGTAACTGCTGCATTTTGGCCCAGAGATCAATAACAGGGGAACCGCATTCTCTGGCGACATCAATGCAGGCCGTGGCGTACTCCCCTGCCGCTTCGTTTGTCCTCTCGGGTAAACCCGACGGGTTCTCCATATACGGGTTCCTGCAGCAAGGGGAAATGGATAGCGCTTTCAATAATTTGGTAAGCAGGCTGAATTCATTCACACGAAAAATAATGTGAAAGGGAAAACAGAGGACGGAAGATTTAAGGTGAAGGAGAACAAGAAATGTACTGGAGGCGTCCCTCTTCGTCGATTGGGGGAGGAGTGATGAGTAGAACCACTGCTTTTGGCCACCGCTCCTGAAATTCAACACCATCATGTTCAGACACACCACCATGATCTCAGAAACACACACATAATAGCCAGCTCCGACCCTTGTGTTGCGAGAACGGATGATTTTGTTAAGAATATATGTGAACACAGGCAGAAGAATGCATCAACTTTCGGGTGAGCATCGCGAAACCTGAATCTATATCACGTCTTATTACGAAATCATGTTTTAATTTAGAGGTCACTGTACAAACGATATATGTTACGTTAGCCCTACATGATCATGATGTAAGGTTATTTTCTCCATTCACTCGTAATATATTCATTTTGGGGCTCAGATAGAATAACAACAGTAAGAGTGTTGTTATTATAACAACAAAATTCATTAAGGGTAAAAGGGTAAATTAGACACAAAATAATAAAATAAAGTTAATTAAATTCATGGTAAAGGAAACCGTACCGGACATCATACCGGATTCCTTTCTGGTATGGTATTTTGTGGTACGACCGTGGTTCAACCATTTTGTACCGGTAAATATCGTTTTTCACTATTGATAGAGAAATGAAATGCGATAGTATAAAAAATATAATCCATCAAAAAAAGAACCAAATAGAGCATTATACAACCACGGTGACCCATTTTCAACATAGAAAAATAGCAAAATAATATTCTTTTTAATTATTTTCCACATATTGGACGAGAATACGGAGAAATGAAGCTGAATCATAGACCAGGAAACCGGATCATACCGGCCGGTTCAACCGGTTCAACCGATCAACCCGAAAAACCCGGCCGGCAAGGTAAAATCGGCACAATAAGCCCACTGTACCGCTTTTGGTCCAATTTCCGGTTGAACCGGTTGAACCGGCCGGTACGATCCGGTTTCCTGGTCTATGATTAAATTCACTCACCGCTGTCAGATCTCATCACCCTCTCCAACTCCAAAGCCGCCGAACTAATCCTCTCCGCCGCCTCCGAACACGGATTCTTCCAACTCGCCGGCCACGGGATCGCCGCCCAACTCGCCCAGTCCGCCGAGTCGGAATCGCTCGCTCTGTTCGAACTCCCCTACGACAAAAAGGAAATGCAGTTCACGAGGAACTGGCCTCTGGGATTTGAGCCCGATGAAGAGGCCAAGATTAGGGCGGTCCTATCGCCGTCGATCAAAACCGTCTCTCCGCCACCTTCGTCGCCGCCGTCGAGTGGGGACTCGTCTCCTCTCACCCCGGACTACTACTATCGCCAATTGCATTGCGGCTGCCACTCTCCGCCGATTGGTTTCCGCAGCGAAGTTCGTGGAAATTACAGACCCCGCTTTGTAATCGGACAACGCAGAATCATACCCGCTGCGGCAGGGTTCGGCATTAGAACGAGAATTTGATGATTGGGCTTGGAATGAAACAAAATTAGTCGAATTAGGTTATAGCGATGAGTGGGCCAGTGGGGGGACGACGGCGGCGGCTGGTCCCGACTATCGAGGAGTTGAGCGACGACGACGGAGGTGGTGATAGAGCCTGCATATCTGTGATAATTTGGTTTCACTACCGGAATCGGAAAATGGAAAAAGCGGAAGAAATGCTAATTGCGAGGGTAGAGATCGGAAACTGTAATTTTTTCTTTTTCTGTGTGTTACTGATTGCTCAGCTTGTTGTTCTCTGTGGAAGGAAACAAAGCTAAGGAAAAAAGGAAGGAGGTGGAGGGGTGTTTATACGAGGGACAGGAAAGGAAGGGTAACAGGAAAAAGTGGAGGAAGATTTCAGTAGTAATTTTTTTTACCTATAATTGAAGGTATCAGAAACACCACAAAACAAACCAAAAATATTTCTAAAGCACACCAGAAATTTCATAATACAAACCACAAACACGGTAAAACAAACCACAGAAAAGCATACCAGAAACCTCTCAATGCATACCACAAATTCTCTAAAACAAACCAGAAACACCATAAACCAAACCACAAATATTTTGAAACCACACCAGAAACCTCATAACGCAAACCACAAACACGTTAAAGCAAACCACAAAAACAAACCAGAAACGTCCTAATGCAAACCAAAAATATACTAAAACAAACCAGAAACCCCGCAAAGCAAACCACAGAATTTTCAAAAACACACCAGAAACCTCATAATGCAAACCACAAACACGATAAAGCAAACCACAAAAACAAACCAGAAACGTCCTAATGCAGACCAAAAATCTATTAAAACAAACCACAAACTCCTCAATGCAAACCACAAAATCTTTGAAAGCAAACCAGAAACTTCTCAATGCAAACCACAAACACGATAAAGCAAACTAGAAACTTCTTAATGCAAACCACAAACACGATAAAGCAAACCACAAAAAGGCATACAAAAATATGAGAAACCAAACCATAAATCTCACAATGCAGACCATAACATTCGGTGGTCGTTGGCCGTTGACCGGTCAACGAAGACCGTTGACTGGTCAACGAAAATCGTTGACCAAACTCCGATGACCGTCAGTGAGTAGATTCCGGCGCCGATAGGCATATTCCGGCCCCGATGACTAGATTCTGACGCCGGTAAGCATATTCCGACCACGGTGAGCATATTCCGGCGACGATGGAATATTCCGATGACAAAATAGCATATTCCGGTGACCGGCGACCAGATTCCGGCGACCGGTGGCCGAATTCCGGCGACCAAAAATTTGGGCCGAAAATAAAAAAAATATTTTTTATTTTTTTATTATTATTTAAATATATTTTTCATAAATGACAATTATACCCCTGCTTTGATTTTACACTAGGTCAACTCATCTAATAAAAAGTCATCCCAACTCTAGCTTCCTATTGGTTGGAGACTAGTGTTGTTACAATAACAACACAATAAGTGTTGTCATAGTATCTAGTCCCTTCATTTTGTGAACTGCATAAGTGTTCATGCTACAATTTGTGCAACTGCATGCTAACATCCTTGCTTTCACTTTCAGGCTGGTTTCTTTTATACTAAGCTTCTAAGATTTATCTTTTGAATAACCGGTAAACTCTATTAATTTCTATCTCGCCAACTATCCGATCTTAATTGACAACATCACTCCAGAGAACCCAAAAACAAAACTGGAGGGCTCGTAGAACCCACTCTTATAGTGTAGGAATTCAGCTTGCTTTATGTTGTATTTTTTTATTTTAATGCACCGTTGAAATGACGAGTTTCCTTCTTCCAAAACATCTTCTTAGTAGAATTCAGATGGTTGCAACTTGTAACTTGTGGTCACAGTTCTACATTTAAAAAAAAGAAAAGAATAGAGGTCCATAACACATATTTATGTTGAAATTGTGAGACGGCCCACATAGGCCATAGCAAATATTAAGAGGAAGAAAGAAAGAAGTCCACTAAACCCAAATTCAAAGCCCAAGTGGGCCCGTTACCATAGTTACATTGGCCTGGAATCTAGAAAACTTCCCAGTCAGGAAAATATTCATGAAATGAAATGCTTGACGAAGTAGTAATGCTTAATCAAGTTTACAGGTTTCCAGTTACGTGGGGACGTCTTTCTAACCCCATCAAAACTCATTGAGGGTTACTTACTAGTTTGCGACCCAATGTCCCGATCTAAAGAACAAACTCTGTCACATCTTACGAAAATCGCTTGTTTGAGAAAAATCACAAAGTTCTTAGTTGTTTTGGAAGTATTAAAAATAATATATTTTGTCGAGTATTTTTCGTTTGAGAGTGAATATTTTGACACTAAATTATACGAATTAAGTTGACCTTGTGAGCTCCCTTATAACTAAGGTCAAATTGAACTCGAAAAAAAAAATTATAGTTAACGAGACTAACTCGAGGACGACCCATAGTATAGCAAATTAAGTTCAAAACCACTACAAAAACACTAAACTCGACTCGTTTTACATTCTATCCAAGCACAATATAAGAAAAAGGAAACTGTACAATAATTGGTGACCCCTGTCCCAATGAAAGGTCACCCTCATCAGTAGCATGATTATTTAGCAAGGAAGAAGAAAAGAAGGTGCCCCAGCCCCATGAAATGATGAGAATAGAAGCATTTATAAAATGGCAAACAGCAACAGCGACAACTGGGTCCTCACCTCCGGGCCTTCCCTTCCATCCCTTGGAACAACGGTACGGCGGGACTAATCGCCCTTTCTTTGGAAAAAATCCCAAAGTACACTAGTTTTTAAAAAAAAATTCCCAAAATACATAAGTTATAAAAAAAATTCCAAAAGTACACATGTTTGAGCATCACCGTTTTAGACAAAAACGGTGAAGGTCATCACCGCTTTTGACCAAGACGGTGAATACTTCACCGTTTCAAACTAAAACGGTGAAGGGTTCACCGCGTTTGTTAAGAACGGTGAATACTTCACCGTTTTAAACAAAAACGGTGAAGTCTTCATTTGAATTCCAAGTATTTTGATAACTCTAAATGGTTCTCCTCGTCGATACGATCGCGCTGCCGAAAACGGCTCGTTATTTCGACCTCAAACGAATAAGATACGAGCGTTTTAGTTTTTAGTACGCAAAAGTTACTTTAACGACATGTGCAGCTTTGAACTCACTTATCTCACTCGTTTGGACTCGGAATTGAGATCTGTAAAATTCTATGTGATCGTGGTTGATTTTCCCAACTTTTTTGTGTTGAGGGAAGATAATGATTCTTGATAAAATGATCCAGAATATTCATTCGACAACTTAAGTGCGTAGGATAGTTTTTAGACCATTCAAACTCAAATAACAACACCTAAAAATCACAAAAACAACATTGATAGTTCACTACAATGATAAAACGATAAATTCACACATTTGCTTCATTTTGGCCCCCATCTCCACCTCTTCCTCCTCGTCCTCCACGAGTTTGTTGTTGCGGATGTTGGAATTGAGAGAACCATATGTAACAACATCATGGGTTCTCTTAATTCCAACATCCGCAACAACAAACTCCGAACCCCCCGATCATTCGTCAAGCTACCGGTCCAACTCAGCCACCACCACCACCATATGTAACCCCAGTTGGGGCTCGGGTCAAGAGAAATCCGCGACCAGCCGTTGAGCGAGCCCGCCAAGAAGCAGTGGCGGAGGGGGGAAGAAGGGGTCGAGGACGTCGTGGAGGACGAGGAGGAAGAGGTGGAGATAGGGGCCAAAATGAAGCAAATGAGTGAATTTATCATTTTATCATTGTAGTGAACTATCAATGTTGTTTTTGTGATTTTTAGGTGTTGTTATTTGAGTTTGCATTGTCTAAAAACTATCCTACGCACTTAAGTTGTCGAATGAATATTCTGGATCATTTTATCAAGAATCATTATCTTCCCTCAACACAAAAAGGTTGGGAAAATCAACCACGATCACATAGAATTTTACAGATCTCAATTCCGAGTCCAAACGAGTGAGATAAGTGAGTTCAAAGCTGCACATGTCGTTAAAGTAACTTTTGCGTACTAAAAACTAAAACGCGCGTATCTTATTCGTTTGAGGTCGAAATGACGAGCCGTTTTCGGCAGCGCGATCGTATCGACGAGGAGAACCATTTAGAGTTATCAAAATACTTGGAATTCAAATGAAGGCTTCACCGTTTTTGTTTAAAACGGTGAAGTATTCACCGTTCTTAACAAACGCGGTGAACCCTTCACCGTTTTAGTTTGAAACGGTGAAGTATTCACCGTCTTGGTCAAAAGCGGTGATGACCTTCACCGTTTTTGTCTAAAACGGTGATGCTCAAACATGTGTACTTTTGGAATTTTTTTTATAACTTATGTATTTTGGGAAATTTTTTTAAAAACTAGTGTACTTTGGGATTTTTTCCCCTTTCTTTGACCCTCATCACACTTATTATTATTTGGTTCCCTAACTAAACCCTTTTTCTTACGTGTTTTCTACTCTATTTTCTTTTTCCAGGAAATTCATTTTGTATGTTCCAATTTCAATATCGTGATATGGATATAAAATTAATGTCCAATGTTATCATCTAGGATGGTTTAATTTGTTGCAATCTCCTAATGCTTGTCACTCTAGACACGCACATTTCTTTTACTTATCCAAGCGATTATGCCCAATTACCATCGATTACTTGGCGCACACTCTTCCCATCACAATCACTCATAAAAAAATTAGTTACAATTTATAAAATCGAAACGAAGGTCGTCCTAAATAAACTAGTAGAATAATATTTAGCATAAGTTGAAGATTCAACCGGCCAACACTCACAAGCTAGCTCATATTAATTAATTATGTGTACCTTACTGATCGCAATGTTTTTATTATTCCCAAGCAGAAGCCCCATAACCTATATCTTGGAGGGTCTTAAATTTAAAACGGTGAAAGGAAATCCAGCTAGCACCCAATATACTCTTGACACAATTGTCTCGTTTTGAGACAATTGTACCAAATTGTTTCATTTGCCAGCAAAAAATTTGGATGGATCAATCTGCCTGGGGTATTTTGAATTGATTCGTTTTGAGTCAATTTCAATTATCCGAGATGGGGACATGTAATTCAAATTGACTCATTTGTAGATTGATCGATCCAAACGACCCCTAATGTTGTGTAGTTCTACCACTAGGAGATGAGTTACGGCGGCCAAACCTACCTAGAAGTTTGATCCAACCTGTGTTGGTTTAGCTAAAAGTAGGACTAACCTTAAGGAAGGAAACAATGGAGCGGAGGTTGCGGCCGTACTCCTCAAGCGGCACGTGCTGGAAGGCAGAGCATCTATCGGGAAGGCAAGCGTCGTTGGCCCCGAAAAACACAGTCACCGCCACCGCCTCTCCGGCCGCCGGAAACACCCTCTCCGCCACCTTCAGCGCCCACCGTGTGTTGTACCCGCTGTAGCCTCTCAGCACCACATCCGCCTGACAAAACAAACAATATCGCTAGATCGATCATTCCGCAAACGCAGCCAAAGAAATTAAAGAATTAAGTGATTAAAGATAGGTACCGTGCGGGCAAAGTGGTTGGTGAGGGAGGCGCCCCAGCCGGCTTCTTCGAAGGACATTTCGGTGATGGAGTCGCCGAACAGGTAAATCTTGGGTCTCATGATCGTTGGTTGGTGAATATGGATGGTTACAAAACCAACCAATTGAAGTTAGGAGCAGGGGATTGATTTAATTTTTTGTGGGGATTCTTTTCTGCGGGAATTTGTTATTCGGGGAGGAGGGTTGTTATCTGACTCTTTCTTATAAATGTCCCGCCCAACCAACCAACCACTTGCGAGGGAAGAGGGAGAGTACGTGATGTGTGTAGTGTTTAATTATTTTGGCAACTACGTGATGTGGTGGGATGCCCCAAGTCACGTCAAAGACCCCCAAGAAGACGTGACTCCGGTTCAATTGGTTGGTTAGGTTAACGAGGGTGATATTTGTTATTGGAGGTGATTAAACAAGCCTATTTCTTGTTATTTGCTGTCAGTGCATTTACTATTTGCCGTCCATAATTTTAGTAAAAATATCATTTTTATTCCTCATTTATTTTTTATAACACAAATCCTCATCCACCACCAGCAGACCACTATGGCCGTTCTTTCTAAAAAAAAAAAAACCACCATCGTCGTCCACGCCAGATCTCGTCCCGGCGGGCGGACGCCTTCTGACCTTGGCGGGCGGACCCCGTCCGACCAAGGTCGGTGGCGACATTGACGATGAGTTCCTTCCTCAACTGCGGCGACGATCTGGTTATTAATTAAGAAAATTAATTTAATATAATGAGATGGGACGTGAGTGATTGAGAATTGGGAAGGAATTCATTGTCTGAAAACTAAATGGCACGCTAAATTAGCACTAATTGCAATTCATAATTTAAACACTAATTCTGAAATTTTACAATTAGTTAAATACTTTACCTAAACAATAATTATTTAATTGCAAAAAAAGTAAAAGCAACGGCAAAAGGAGGAATCCATTAATGGCAGTTACCAAAAAATATAAATAAAAATTAAGGATTTAATTAGGGAAATGAATTCTCGGTTGTTAATTGGGGAACTGGATTTTAAGTTTTAATTAAGGAAATAATTAATAAATTTACAAATCCGGCGGACGGTCTCTTCAGGTACAGAATGAACACAAGTTTGGAGGGCAGTTTGGCGAATCCCGGCAACCCAGCGGATCCGATCAATCTTTTGGCTATTCGTGCATGACAGATTGTTGACGAATGGAGAAAGATCTCGAAGGCACTTGAGTACGACGAAGACCTGTACCATATGTGATCACGAGCTGGAAAGTGCGCTTCATGTGGTTAGGGACTGCTCCCTGGCTCGTGCTGTGTGGGCCGATCTTCTGGGTAACGAACCTGACGAGGTCTTCTTCCAGGAGAACAGGACGCAGTGGGCACTACACTACATCTCCGGCCGGAGTAAAAACATCGATCCCACTCTCTTTGCGGGGGTCAGCTGGCTCCTCTGGAAGAATAGGAACAAGTTTGTGTTTGAACAAGAGCTATGCTCACCAGAGGTGATCAGGCGTAGAGCGGCAGAACTACTCCAACAAGTAAATGAATCCTCGAAGCGGGATGTACTGGAAGCGAGAATCCGGTGAGGCGAAGACAAGAAGTCAGATGGGATCCACCGACGCGGGGATGGGTCGCCTTGAACACAGATGGTTCAGTGAAGAATGGCCAGGCTGCGGCAGGCGGTGTTCTGAGAGATGACAGTGGCCGGATCCTGAAGGCGTTTGCAGGGAACGTTGGTGAAGTCTCAAATACGAGAGCTGAATTGGAAGGTATTGTGCATGGATTGAAGATGGCTTGGGACGAGGGCTTCCGGCGGGTGGTACTCCAAACTGACTCACAAACTGCTATCCAGTTGATTGAAGGAGCGGAAGAGAGGAATCCTCATTTCCTGGCGGTGCAATCTGCTCGCCGGCTTCTGGACAGGGAGTGGCAAGTTCGGCTAGTTCATGTCTTTCGTGAAGGGAACTATGTTGCAGAATACCTCGCCTCAGTGGGACATCGACTGCCGATCGGTTTCCATTTCAGAGAGGAGCCGGATCCACTCCTGAACTATTGGATGTATTTTGATGTAATGGGGGTGGAAACTTCTCGCATGGTTAATGTCTAACGGTTGGAGTGCGCGTTGCACTCCGTTTTCTCACCAAAAAAAAGAATGAACACAAGTCGGACACTACAGGAAATCACCTAATTAATGGTAGTTATTGGAAATAATCAAGGAAAAAGTAATTGGAAAAGTAATTAATTAAAATTAAGCTAATTAATGGAGATTACGGGAAATCATGAAGGTTAAAAACCCATACTCCTCCCACATTACGATGTCTAATTGAATTTTAAACTTCCTAAATCAATATTATCTCCTTCAATTTACCATATTACTATTATTTTTATTTTATAATCTACACAATAAATAAAAGCCAAATGAGAAAACTTGAAGCCCCATTTAGGGATGGCAATGGGTCGGATACGGTGCGGATACCCTATATCCGTTGCCCGCCATTCCTGCCCGCGGGTTTTACCCGTGCCCGGCCCACTAAGCTAAACGGGCAGAGAATGAAGACCAAGCCCAAACCCATTTGGAGAGCGGTTAGCCCGCGGGTAAGGGCCTGCCCGCCAACACCTAATAACACCTAGAATAATTGATCATCAACTAACCTGTAGTTACTGTCATACTGTCCAAAAAAACTTACTAACCTGTAGATATTACATAACTCAAAGATGAAGGAAAAACAAAAACATAATGTCATTCCAGCATTATTCACGAATTGCAAACCCAAAATCTGTCTGGAAATCGAGAAATCTAACATTAAAATACCACAGAACAGACAGAACTTGTGAAAACTAAGAACTAATAATATTCAAGCAGTATCCATGAACTGCAAAGTGCAAACCCAGTACTTGTCTAAAATCCATGAATGTACTTTCAAAATAGGCAAAAACCCATAAATATGAGCTGTCCAGTAGCAGAAATCTGCAATCCCAGCAATCATCAGTCCAGCAAACATCATTCATTCTACACTTCTCCATAACATCCAGCAACCCATAATCAGTCCAGCAATCACCAATCAAGGGTAATTGACCAACTTTTAGTTTCCTGGACAATCTCTGCAATATGGCAGATTCATTCAGTCATTCATCAGTTGATTTTGTTGCAATATTTAGAACAGAAAAACTTAAAAGAGATTAAAACACAAACCTAGAGTTAGTCCAGCAAGTTGATGACAGCAGCTGCATCATCTTCCTCCCCATTCAACTCTGACTGCACTCCATCTCCAACTGTTACAAAACAAACAGTTTATTAAATTTTAGTCTTAAATTACAGTAGCGCAGCAAGGATATGAATCTAGTTACCTGTGTTGTCTTCTACAGTGGTATCATCCATTGCCATTGCGGAGAAAACCCCCTCCAGAGCTTTCAATTCAGAGGCGGACACTACAAGGCAAAGCAAAAAGTTATAAATAAGCTTTACTTAGCAACAAACAAAAATCATAGCAATGAAATTACCAATTAGAATCGATATACCTCTGCTATCGTCCTGAATCCAAGTTCTTAAGATCATCATGGCTTCTACTGTTGCAGGATCCAGTCTGCTCCGATGGGGATCAAGAAGCCTCCCACCAGAACTGAAGGCTGATTCAGAGGCAACACTCGTGACAGGGACAGCAAGTAAATCCCTTGCAATGTCTTGCAAAATGGGATACTTGGCCCCGTTAAATTTCCACCAACCCAACACATCAAAATCTGGTGTTCTAGGATGAGGATCCTCGGCTAGATAGTGATCTAACTCAGTGGTTACTACAGAGGTTCTCGTTTTCTTTCTTTGGCTCACATATAGATCAAAATCAAGATCTGTGGCCGAAGAAGAAGTTTGGGAACTAGAAGAAACAACACTGTTTTTGGAGGATTTCCTCTGATACTCAACAACCAACTCAGCAAGAACATCTTTTACCCTTTCAATCACAAGGTCAGTATTAGCAATACCAAATTTGGTTGCATAATAACCAACCAAGTCCAATTTGTACCTCGGATCCATCACAACAGCAACAGCAAGCAGCAGATGAATATCATCCCAGTATTTTGCAAACTTAGCCCACATTTTCTCAGCCATAGAAACGATCATAGGATTTGTATCAACTAACCACTCCATCAAACGCAACCTCAAGTCGCATACTTTAGGGAAAAAATGATTGGCTGTAGGGTAGTTTGAACCAGAAAATATTGCAGTAATGTCCTTGAAAACCTCAAGTTTCTCACACAAAATATGAGCAAACTCCCACTGCTCGTGGGTAGGCAGAGAGTTGTATTGAGGTTCTCTGTTTTTCAGAATAGCAAACACGTCCTTATATGGAATAGCAGCAGTAAGCATAGCAAAGGTAGAATTCCAACGTGTAGGACAATCCAACACCAATTTCTTGGAAACAGCCAGTTTAAGCTGTTGGGCAGTTCCATGGAAAATTTCAACTCGCCTCGGAGTACATGTCCAAAATACCACACTCTCCCTGATGTTTTCAATTCCATCTTTGAGAACATCAAGGCCATCCCTCACAATTAGATTAAGGATGTGAGCAGAACACCTCATATGAAGAAGTGTCCCATCCCTAATCATATTAGATAGGACCAGCCTTTGTTTCACTAGATTGATCATGGAATCATTGGTAGTACAATTTTCAAGAGTGATTGTTGACAACGTACTATCAATGTTCCAATCTTGGAGGCATTTAGCAAGCTTGGCAGCCAACCTCTCACTAGTGTGTGGGGCAGGGAGGTAACCAAAAAATATAAGATGGTTCCTAAGCTTCCAAAAGTTGTCTATGTAATGGGCAGTGACAGCCATGTAAGCCCTTTTTTGGTTTGTGGCAGTCCACAAGTCAGTGGTGATAGCTATCCTCCCTCTGTTTTGGTCCATGACCTTCTGAATTTTAGACTTCTCTAAACCATAAATGGTCACTATGTCTTTCTTTATGGTATTTCGGGTTGGGACTTTGAAGAGTGGGTTCAATGTGCAGCAAAATCTTTTGAAATATAAGTTTTCAACTATAGAAAGGGGATACTCATGCACCAAGATCATGGTACAGAGCTCCTTTCTAGAAACCTCACTGCTGAATTGATTGGTAGTCATGTCAGCCGTTCCACTAACATTGTAGTTAGCACCAAGAACTTTTTGACTCCCATCATGTATTTTTTTATGAACACATTTGTTCCTATGAGTTCTAAGATGGGAGGTACCATTAGTAGATTTTGCAGCCAACACCTTCTTACAGTAGTTGCATTTAGCTTTCAAAATTCCAGACACCATTACCCGAGTGAAGTGAGGCCACACATCAGACTTTAATGATCTACTAGCACCTAAGGGAAGTTGAGGAACATCATCTAGAGGTTCAGGAGGGTTATTAGGATTACCAGGGGCTGGGGCAGCAGCATTACCATTCTCAAACTGTTCGGGTTCCATCTGATTAAGAGGAAGACACAAGTAAAACGTCTCAGAATTATGTCTAGTTGTATTCTTATTATATAAAAATGTTTATAAAGTAGAGATTAGTTGTTCAAAAGATTCCAACTTAGCTATCTCGAACTTAAGTGAACAGTCTAGAGGTTCCCAACTAAATTGTTTCGAAGGTAAGTACTTAATAGATTAAGTGTGTTTAGTATTGAAACTTAAGTACTGAAGTGTGTTTAGTATTGAAACTTAAGTGTGTTTAGTATTGAAACTTAAGTACTTAAACAGAATCAATGTATTGAAACTATGTGTTTGGTACTTAAGTATATCATAAACTGAATCAATTAACTGAAATTAATCACTACCAGATTAGCTATTCTGAACTTAAGTGAACATGTGTTTAGACTTTAGTACTTAAGCATAGCATAAACAGAGTCAATGTACTGAAACTATATGTGTTCAGTACTTAAGTATACATGTTAAGTACTTAAGCATCAGGCTTTAATGATTCGATGTTAAGTAACAGATTACATGTGTTTAGACTTTAGTACTTAAGCATAGCATAAACAGAGTTAATGTACTAAACAAATTCATTCACTACCAAATAGCATCAGGCTTTAATGATTCGATGTTAAGTAACAGAGTCAATGTACTTAAGATTAGCTGTTTTCGACATAAGAATGACATAAACAAATTCATTCACTACCGGAACCAGATTAGGTGTTTTCTACTTAACAATAGCATTAAACCAAATCATTCACTACCAACAACAATCAAGGGCGACGACTTACTTCAGCAGACTGTATTTTAAGCGCCACCTGCTTGATGGGACTCCTGAACAGCAAGCTGCAAAAACAAAAGAGCAGGAAATAAGTATCAAACTCAAATAATCTGGAAAGCTATGGTATTTGGAAAACTAATCGAACAAACTACTTTAACTAAGCTTACCGAGAATGACAAACAGGTAGTGGGATTCCGAATTCTGGAAGGCTAGGGTTTCTGGGTTTAGGGTTCTTACTGCAGATGAACAAAATGAACAAGTCAGCCTCACATTTATACCCTTATAAGCATTAATCAAACAAACTACTGTAAAGTGTAAACTAAACTTACCGAGAATGACAAAAAGGTACTGGGAATCGGAATTCTGGAAGGCTAGGGTTTCTGGGTTTAGGGTTCGAAGAACTGCAGATGAACAAAACAAACAAGTAAGCCTCATATTTATATCCTTAATCGATTAAGGAAAGAAAGAATGAATCGAATACTCAATACTTATCTCGAATTCTCGATCTAGGAAAGATATCGTCTGCATGCACGATTCGAGTTTTTTGTTCCTTCGATTGAGACATTTTCGATGGCTGGGGGCTGGATTAAGGGTAAGATGAAGGATTATTGGTGATTAGATCGTAGATTTTGGTGGGAAATTAGTAGAGAAAGGAGGAGAATTCGTCGGAATCGTAGGGATTTGGCCAGAATTTTTCGATTCGAGGGTTTAGGTTGAGAGGAAATCGGGGACGAAGAGGCGGCTGCGTTGGTGAAAATGAAGACTGAAGTCCCTAACCCTAAAATCCAAGTTTATATATGGAGTCTATTGCGGCGTCGTATTGCTATCGGGCCGGGTACGGTGCGGGGATCACAATATCCGTCCCCAGCCCGTCACCGTCACCTGCGGGTCTCGGGCCTGCCCGTAACCGCGAACTTACCCGGCCTCGCGGGTTTTGGGCCTTCTCTATTTGTCGGGCCCCAACGGATGTCCAAGGCTCGCGGGCTGATTGCCATCCCTAGCCCCATTTCAAATTTCCTGCATTCAGAGTGAAAGTAGGAAGGACATTCTGGTCTTCACAATTACTTTTTTTTATTCATTAAAAAGACACTTACTAGGATTCAAACCATGACCACTTTAAAGAAAATCACAAATCATAACCAATCACACTAAGTACATTTGTTGTATCTTTTTAAATTAAAAACATATAATCGCAGAGAGGAAAAAACCCTTTCCCCATTTCAAATTTTCTGCTCCATGAGCGTTTGTAGGAAGGGTAGAATAGGGAGTGTAATTTTTTTTCTTTTTTCTCTGTGGAACGGGCCAACTTATCGTACACATGCGGATTTAAATGGGTCCAGGAGTGTCAATTTTTTTCTTCAAGTCCTTTTATTTCTCCGTGGTGGTAAAATATATATGAAAAGGCAAAAACAATACTCCTTTTTATTGCTAAAAAGAAAAAAATTTAACAATAAACTAATGCATGGTATCTAATGGGCTAACCGCTAATCATAAAATAAAAGAGTTGAAAGGGTCTGACCTACACGAGATTTGCACATCCAGTAAAACAAATGAACATCATGTGTTTGTCATTCTAAAACAAACTATTTTCTCTAGCATAATATATTTTTATATTTTAGTGGCTAAAATATAATGTATTTTAAAGTTATTCAATGGTTCAACCTCGACCAACCCAATTAGTCCAATTTTTATCATTTCAAATATATATTATGTAATTATTTGATATCATAATGATTAAATTATAGTGTATATTATAGGGAATCGTTTGGTATTTGTTAGTAAAAAACTAAACAGAAATATCTATTTGGTTATTTTTAACTTTAAAACGATCCTACACATATTCAGTTTCCTTTCGAAATTCTATAGTTTTATTCCCGAATCAGTGATGTGCAAATGGCGAATTGCAGTCATCTCTTTTCTTTCATTATTTTTTATTTTCAAATAGAAAGTTTAAAAGTAAAGAATAATTAAAGTTTGGTATGTGTCGGTCAAACAGGCTGAATTTCAAGTTTTGACCCGTTTTGATCAAGTCTAATTTATAATCACATGGTTCCCTAATACCCGATACAAATCTCAATCCCAACCAGTTTGGCAGGTGAGCCCGTGTTTACCACCATCTTCTAGGGATACAGGAACGGTGGTTCATATCCCAAATCGTGTTGTTCATTCTTGATTTCTTTAGATTTTATCATGTCTTGGCAAAAAACCAGAAAGCACAATGATGACAAGATGAAAGTTTTATAAAGCAAATTAATCGGCCAACTGGCCGAGTAAAAGGTAGCAACGATTGTGAGATGCTCATTTCCCGAAAACTGGCGGGATAGATGATTTTTTACTCGATTTTCTGGAATTCAATTTCTATAAAACTTACTCCACCTCATCATGTTACCATAAACAATATTGTTTCACAAGGTAACAGGTACTTGATTTTGGTTCATAAGGCTGATTTTTGATTCGTTGCATCATTCATGTCTCTTTCCTACTAAAATTCACTATTTTTATCACGTGTTTCCAAAAAAAACTATACAACAATAAGCTCTACAGCCCATTACATTATCAAATTTCTTACCTCACCTTGCTCCGGCCAATTGGCCGGGGCCTACGCTAGTTATTTAATATAAGAGATGGAGAAGGAGTTGAGGGGGGTTCATTGGAGAGAGAAGTGATTAATATTACGATTTGTATTATTATATTAAATGATAGTAGGAAACGATTTTTCTGTCGTAAGTGGGATGGATTAGGGGAAATTAGATTGGTAGTGATTAACGAGATAAGGATTCAAACCCTAGCAATACAAATAATTGGTCAAAATCCTACTCTCCATAAACCCTAATTGGTCAAAATCAAACCCTAGCTACACAAATAAATTATGAATAATTATACAAATCAATAAAGAATTATTTAAATTTATAATTATTTGAACAAAGACCCACGTATGGTTTCAATAAGGAATGTATTTTGGTTGCGATTAATTAGTCGTGTTAATTAAAAGAATTTTTTCCTATTGTTAATTATGGAATTGAAATTAGACGTGGGTTATGGAATAGGAAATGTTAATTAAGGAAATTTTATTGGATGTCAATTCAGTAAATGAAATTAAACATGGGTTAGACGTTTTAATTAAGAGAAGACAAGTTAAAGGGAATTTTTTACTTTTTTTTGTAGAAATTAAGGGAATTTTTTACGGTTGTCACTTAGAGGTGATTGTTAATTGGGATTATTTACATTCTTGTCCTATTTAATTATTTCCATAATTACCGTAGGATGTTAATTATATATATATATATATGGTTAATTAGAGAAATTTTGGCATTTAATAAAATATTCAAATAATTAATATTAATTATGAATCCAAGCGAAAGAAAACGTCACTGGCGATAGGTCCGACGTCGGTGGTCGGACCCCGTCTGACTCGGACAGGAGGTCCCTTTCCGAACCCCGACGACGGACCCCGTCCGAGCCCCGACGGCGGACTGAGCATTTACGTCCGTCTGATTGAAAGAGTCGGACCACCCATCCCTGTCCGATTGTCGTAGTCGGATGTCCCATCTCCTTCTTATCCGGCCAGTTCTTGCTCCCATGGAGATTTAGTTGCCGCAACCGCCACGCAAAAACAGGGAGATTGAGACTTCAGAGCTCGGAAATCGGATAAAGATGATGGCGGAATTAACGAGGAAGGCGAATCGTCGCCAAAAATTGCGGGGGGAAAAAGCAAGCCAGGGAGAATGGCCGCCGAGTTTTGCGGAACAGAAAAGAGGGAAGCGATTCCGGCGTCGGGATGGTCAGTTTCAGTTTAGTTAGATTTCTAAAGTGTTTGAAGGGCAAAATAGAATTTTATTAATAAAGCTATGGAGTATAGGCGGCAAATAGTAAATACTCGAGCGGTAAATAGCGATTCATATTTCGTTGATATCAATCAATTGTATAGAATAGAATGGGTCGGTGAATTAAATAAATAAAAATATGAGTCTCTTGCTCTTGCCCTTGTTCAAATCAAGGAAACCCTATCTGTTTGCTACTGCTTCCCAACTGTGGAGGTTGATTTTCTCAGAGAATTAGAAGTAATGTCACTATATCCCGAGAAATTTTAAATAATTAAAGTATTGATGTTTTACTTTTTGTCTTTGGTACAAATTTAGGTTGTATTTTTTACGTTATGGGACAACTTCAACTTGTACCTATACTCTCTTGTATAAGTCTCTTTTTGGTACAAACTAAAGTTGCAAGTTGTACCACAACATAAAGGTACAAATTCCTTTATGGTACAAATTCAATTTGTACATTTAAAGTTATGTTACAACTTCAAGTTTTACTTTAAAGTATAGTAGAAGTGATCATCGATCCCAGAATCGGGCAATTATTATCCATAATCAGCTCTTATTGTTTACTTGGGTTGAGATGGACACCCAATTTCAGGATTTTGGAGAAGAATTTATGATGGGCACCCTTCTCTATCCATGATCTCTGATGAATAAGATCATTGGTGGAAGCGTGAGGGATATCGCCCCTAGTTTTCGGTAAAAACATACCCAGAGATGCAGTGAGATGACGATGGGAAACCCATGATTTGTTTACGACACAGATTGAATCAAGGACGAAATCCATTCATTCAGATCTTGGGAGTTGTGGTTATAAAACACACAATACAATCAACAATTGGAAATTATAATTCAGAGCAGGCAAGGAGTTAGTGGATGCATCATATTCAAGGATTGCCCATTCTCGATGGTCTTGCTCATTTCTTCTTCAATATCATGTGACTAATTTTCTTGTATTCTTTGTTGTTTCCTTATGCTGCTTAAAGTTTCCTACAAGGCTACTACCATCTATATTTCTCGCTTCTTAGATACCTGCCTAGAGTCACTGGCAACAATCAATGACAATGTAGAAAAGACCAAAGGGTGGTTTCTCTTATGACGATGGAGAAGAGAGTCTGGCGAGAAAACGTATCTAAGTCTGATAGGTCGTCTATTCATTGAGAAGATGCTAATCCAAGTGTTGCAACGTGTTTTGAATCACCTGAGTAATTGCATGTCACAAGTAGTAGTGGAGTTGTGACAATATGTGGTATACATGGAGTAAATTTGTAAAGTCAAATTCGTGGGCTCCAACGGAGTTGGACGAGATGTGCGCTGCACCTGTCGTTGATTGGGAAAAAATCAGGTTCATGAGTGGAACCTCAATGAGGCTTGGATGAATGAAGATATATTGGCATAAAAATTCCCAGATTAAGTAGCTAAATGAAGGAGACCGTAATATGTCTTATTTCCATATGATTACGAGAACTAGGCGACAGTGTACTTATATTTCTGATCTCTTTGATTCTGCAGGAATGTGGGTTACTTCGAATGGAGATAAAGCCAAATTCGCTTGTGATTTCTTCACAGATTTAACATCTTT